CGCTTTCCCTGAGCATACAGAGAATCCTTGCCCTTTTTGTACTGTGTCACTTTATGAGGTTGGTGCTTGCCACACTTCTTACAGAAGGTCCGGCGGGTTTTAGGGACGTTCACCATGCTTGCGGGCCTGCTATCTGCACAAAAAGAGCCCCTAAATAATTCTTAAAAAAAATAATAAAATAGGGACCAACAGTTAGCGTTATGGCTATGTCGCTGGACTCCCACGTAGTCAAACGCGGTTTACATCCCGGACCGGGTGGCTTAAAACTCAAGCCACGTGTGGGTGTGTGTGCATGCCCAAGAGCCTGAGAGGAGAAAGGAGAAGGGATTGCGGCATGGCCATCCCCCCTGGGGAGTGATTTCTCGCTTTCTGTCTCTGTCTCTCTGTCTGGCAAGCGCACGTGCCCTATAGCAAAAACTTCTTAAAAAAAGAAAAGAAAAGAAAAGCACTATTTCATTAACAGATGTAGTTGGCTATATTAAAACTGCTGATGGGACCGGCAGATGGCATAATGGTTACACTGCCAGACTCCCATGTAGTAGACTGCAGTTCAAGTCTGAGACCTGGCAACTTAAAACTTATGCAAGGTGCAGGTGCGTGCATGCGTGCGTGCATGCGTGCCCAAGATCCTGAGAGGACAATGGAGGAGGAAGGACTGTAGTGTGGCCATTCCCCCAAGGAATGATTTCTCACTTTCTGTCTCTCTGTCTCCCCAGTGAGTGAATGTGCCCTACAGCAAAAATCTCTCTTAAAAAAAAACACAAAACCTGCTGATAAGGGAGTCATCACTCCGAGCCCAAGTCGTACCGAGACTAATGTAATCTAAGTTTCGTTTGTTTAAAGGCATGTGTACTCACTAGAGAGAGACAGGAAGTAAGAGAGACAGCCAGCCACTGATGTGGTGGTTAAGGCAGATGGATCTCATATGGCCAACTGTGCCGTTCAAGTCCTGGACCTCATGGCTTCAAAATCATGGGGTTGGCAGGTGGCAAGTTAAGTCACTGAACTCCCACACGGTTGATCGTGGTTCGAGGCCCAGAGCAGGCAGCTTGTTTTCTTAGTTTCTCTCTCTCTCTCTCTCTGGTCAAATTAAAAAATAACAATGATGGGGGCCAGCAGGTGGGATGGTAGTTAACACACTGGACATGGCCGACTGTGGTTCAAGTCCTGGACTTGATGGCTTGCTTTCTCACTTTCCCTCTGTGTGTGTGTGTCTCTTTCTGGTCAAATTAAAATAAATGAATGAATGAATAAATAAAAATAAATTAAAAAATAGTTTAAAAAATAAAATTAAAAATATTTTTTAAAATATTTATTTAGGGGACCAGCAGTTGGCATAATGGCTACATCACTGGACTCCTATGTAGTCAACCACGGTTTGAGTCCCGGACCTGGTAGCTTAAACACACGCTGGGCACGTGTGCATGCATGCCCAAGATCCTGAGAGGAGAATGGAGGAGAAGGGATTGTGGCGTGGCCATCCACCTTGGGGGTTGATTTCTCGCTTTCTGTCTCTCTGTGTCTTTCTGGCAAGTGCACGTGCCCTACAGCAAAAACCTCTCAAAAGAAAAATCCATTTAGAGGCTGGCAGGTGGCAGGTGGTGGAGGGCACTGGACTTCCACATGGTCAACCACGGTTCGAGTCCTGGACCTGGCAGCTTGCTTTCTCACTTGCCCTCTCTTCTTTCTCCTCTTTCTCTCTCTGGTCAAATCGAAATAAATGAATAACTAACTAACTAACTAACTAACTAACTAAAGTTTAATAAAATAATTTTCAAAGTAATTTATTTAGTTCCATTTGTCATTTTTATTTTTTAATTTGACCAGAGACAGACAGAGAGAGAGAAAAAGGGTAAGTGAGAAAGCAAGCCACCAGGTCTGGAACTTGAACCACAGTTGGTCATGTTGTTATCCAGTGCCTTTAACCACCATGCCACCTGCTGGCCTCAAATACAATAATTTTTTTAAAAATGAGAGAAGAGGACTGGCAGGTGGCATAGTGGTTAGCAGCACTGGACTCCCACACTGTCAACCATGTTTGAGTCCTGGACCTGGTGCCTTGCTTTCTCACTTTCCTCTCCCTCGCTCTGTCCCTCTCTGATCAAATAATAAATAAATAGAGCTAAAAAAAAAATAGGTAAAAAAAATTAGGAGGAGAAAAGAAAAACATACTGGATGTGTTCCCCTGGTGTGCCCAAAATCCCGGAAGGAGGAATGTAAAGGGACTGCAGCATGACCATCCCCCATAAAGGAGTGCTTTCTCACTTTTCCTCTCTTTTTCTGTCTCTCTGGCAAATGCATACATGTGCTCACAAATTAAAAAAAAAAAAAAAAAAGAGGGGGGAACCAGCAGTTAGCGTAATGGCTATGTCGCTGGACTACCACGTAGTCGACCACGGTTCGCGTCCCGGTGGCTTAAACTTCACGCCGGGCGCATGTGCGTGTGTGCCCAAGATCCCAAGAGGAGAATGGAGGAGAAGGGACTGCAGCGTGACCATCCCCCCTGGGGGGTGATTTCTCGCTTTCTGTCTGTCTCTCTCTGTCTGTCTGGCGAGCACCGCCTTTTAGCAAAAACCTCTTCCAAAAAAAAAAAAAAAAAAGAGGGAGAGAAAACACGTTCCATGGGGAAAAGGTCAACAGCCACACCACAACCCCTCTTCTCCATCTCTCCCTTCTTTTACAATTTTGGGCATGCACAATGCCCATCATGCTTCTCAAGCCACTGGGTCTGGGTATGGAACTGAAATCTCACAATTGGTTATGTGGGATCTAGGTCCTTAACAAGCTGGTCATAATCTGCTTATTAGGAATTCAGGGGAAAGATGAATGAGAAGCTATCATCAATTTTTGGGGTTGGTACGTGGTGTGGTGGTTAAGGGCACTGGACTCCCACTTGACCAACTGTGGTTCAACTCCCGGACCTACCAGTTTGCTTTTTTCTCTCTCTCGCTCTGTCCCTCTCCAGTCAAAAAAAAATTAAATAAATAAATAAATAAAGTTAAATAAAATAATTCTTTTAAAAATTGTTTTAATTACTTTGTTGACAAGGTATCTAAAAGCCACTTGAGGTGCTAATGACACCAAGGAAAAGATGGGGAGTAAGAGAACCCTTCTGAGAAGTAAAATGGGGACCAGCAGTTAGCGTAATGGCTATGTCGCTGGACTCCCATGTAGTCGACCGCGGTTCGAGTCCTGGACCCGGTCGCTTAAACTCATGCCGGGCACGTGTGCATGCATGCCCAAGATCCCAAGAGGAGAATGGAGGAGAAGGGATTGTGGCATGGCCATCCTCCCTGATGGGGTGATTTCTCACTTTCTATCTCTCTGTCTCTCTCTGTCTATGCTCTTTATTTATGATTTCTTTTAAGTCTTCTGATACCATTCAAATCTGACATTATTATTCTCTTCATTTCATAAATGAGAAAACTGAGACGGATTAATGATCCAAAGTGACTGGCAGTAAGCTATGGAACCAAAACTCGTGGTCCATATTCTGAAAAAGAAAAGAGTCTCCAACATACCTGTCCTTCTCAGTGGTACAATTGTGCAGGAGACATTTCCATGCAAAAGCAAAACCTCGATAACACCCAATCTGTGAATTTTAAAAATATTTAAGAGTAAGATTAATGAGCAACTACCTACACTATATCTAATAACCCAAGATCTCAAAACAAAAGATGGGGCCAGAAGGCGGTGGTGCTTCTTGTATCACTGTTCTGAAGTACCTGCTGAGCATCATGGAAGTTAAGGGGTTAAGTCCCTGGTAGGGCAGCCACATGGCAAGATGGCTCCAGTAATCCTCACGCCCTGGTACTCGTGCCCTAGACAGGGCACCGGACACTCTATCAGCGTGGCTTTTGTAACCAAGAGAATACAGAGGAACAGTAGAGAACTTCTGAGGCTAGGCATAAAAGACGACATCACTTTGTCTTGCTCTCTTGAGCCATTTGCTCTTGTGTGACCTTAGGACACTCGAGGAGCCCTAGGGAGAGGTCAATGCCGACAGGTGAGCAAGTGTGCCACCTTGGAGACAGAGCCTCCAGCTTCAACTAAACTTTTTTTTTTTTCTGAGAGGTTTTTGCTATAGGGTGTGTGTGCTCACCGGAAAGACACAGAGACAGAGAAACAGAAAGTGAGATATCACCCCCCAGCGGGGATGGCCACGCCGCAATCCCTTCTCCCCTTGGGACTTGGGCATGCATGCACATGTGCCCAGAGTGAGTTTAAGCCGCTGGGTCCAGGACTTGAACCATAGTCGACTTCTTGCGAATCCAACGACATAGCCCATTACGCCATCTGCTGGTCCTGGCTAAACTTTCAGATGAGACCACAGCCCTGGCTGACAGCTTGGCTGCAGCTTCTGGAGAGGCCTGAGTCAGAATCACCCAGCAAAGCTACTCCTGAGTTTCTGACCCTCAAAAACTTGAGGTAATTGATGTGTGTTGTTTCAGGCCATTTTGTGGTGACCTATGTCTTAACATTAGATATCTAATATGATCATGACTACCTCAACTCAGACTTTACCACTTAGGACCAGTTAACAGTATGTGAGGGCCCACCTAAAGGGCAAGAAGAAAAAAATTATGCATTTATGGAATTTCAATGTAAATGGAGTATTTTCACAAGGCATATAGCACCCGTTTTTTGGATGGGAATTTAGCTAGCTTAAAACGAGACAGTACCATGAACGTCCAAGGTTAATTATTCCCCAGCCTGCATAACGACAGTCTCTACATACTGCAGCAATACACTCTGCCAGTTCTAGGACAATTTCTAGCTGGTCTATTAACTCCCACATACATTTTGCATTTTTGTTTTACAGAGATTTCTGCTATAGGGTGCATGCATACACTAGAGAGACAGAGACAGAAAGCAAGCAATCACCCCCTCCCCCCCAGAGGGGATGGCTGTGCTGCAATCCCTTCTCCTCCATTCTCCTCTTGGGATTTTAGGCACACATGTACACACACACCCAGAATGAGTTTTAAATCACTGGGTCCAGGACTCAAACCATGGCCAACTATGTAGCAGTCCAGTGACATAACCACTACTCCATCTGCTGGTCCCTATATTTTTTTTTTTAAGGTTTTTGCCATAGGGTGCTTTGTGCTCACCAGAGAGAGACAGTGAGGAAAAAAGAGAAATCACCCTTTGGGTGTAAGGCCACACTGCAATCCATTCTCCTCCATTCTTCTCCTGAGATTATGGGCATGTGCACACATACGCCTGGCATGATTTTCAAACCACCAGGTCTGGGACTCTGTGGTCATGACCACAGTTGGTCATGTGGGAGTCCAGCATCTTAATCAACATGCCACCTGCTGGGTATACATTTTGCAATTTTAAGAGACTTGATATTATGGTTCTATCATCCTAAACATCAAAGTAAATTATAAATTGTAAAAGGAGGGGCTGGTGGGTGGTGTGGTGGTTAAGGCACTGTACTCCCACGTGGTCAACCACAGTTCGAGTCCTAGATCAAGTGGCTTGAAATTCAGGCTAGGTATGTGTGCATGTATGCCCAAAATCCCGAGACGAGAGTGGGGGAGAAGGGATTGTGGTTTGGTCATCACCCCAGTGGGATGATTTCTCAATTTGTCTAACAAGTATACATCTTCTATAGCAAAAATCTCTCAAGAAAAGAAAAGGATTCATTTTCAGTGGGTGTTCCTACTTACCTCAGATCCAATTTTGGCTCCATGTAAGGTGCCATATTGTCTTCCTTCAATTATGCCTAAGCTGCTGCCTTCTTCATAGCCTTCCTGATACCCTTCTCCATGAAACCTGTGATAGAGAAGCACACGTCATCAAATGAACGAAGAAAGTATATTTTTCTCTTGTATGTTATCCAAAACTTGGAGTATATAGGAATTCATATTTCTGGACATAGGAAGGGTTTATAAAAAGTTTTTGTTGGGAACCAGCAGTTAGCGTAATGGCTATGTCGCTGGACTCCCACGTAGTCGACCGCGGTTCGTGTCCCAGACCCGGTGGCTTAAAACTCACGCCGGGCGCGTGTGCGTGCGTGCCCAAGATCCCGAGAGGAGAATGGAGGAGAAGGGATTGCGGCGTGACCATCCCCCCTGGGGGGTGATTTCTCGCTTTCTGTCTCTATGTCTCTCTCTGTCTGTCTGGCAAGCGCACGCGCCCTACAGTGAAAATCTCTCCAAAAAAAAAAAAAAAGTTTTTGTTATATTATGCAGGTCCAGTAATACAAGGCATAGTAGTAAAAATCTTAAAACTCAATGGGGCTGGCAGGTGGCATGGTGGTTAGTGGCACTGGATTCCCACATGGCAGAACGCAGCTCAAATCCTGGAGTCAGTGAGTTGATTTCTCATTCCCCCCGCTTCCCTCTGGTCAATAAATAAATAAATAAATAAATACATCTTAAACACACACACACACACACACACACTCAAGTATAGCCCTCCCACTTCCTGTCTATCCTCTGGCAAGTCACTGTATCTCTTTAAGACCAGTTTTTTTTCAGATGCGATGAAGAGAATGAGCTAAATTGGTCATTTCCAAGCCAGGTAAAGGACCAGAAATACACAGGAAAATTTTAAAGATATAAATGTAAGAGCCTCGCCCCCTGATATTCAGTAAGTCTAGAGAAAGACCTAAGAATCTGTTTCAAAATGTCCTATGTGACACTGGTGTGCAGCCACTGAAGGGAGCCAAAGTTCCCTGAGTCTACAAACAACACTAACTCATGCCAACTATTTTAAATCACACAGATTTAAAAAAAAAAAAAAAAGAATCATTTAGCTTTATTATTACTATTATTGTTTGTTTTTTAAATTTGACGAGAGAAAGACAGAGAGAAAGAGACAAAGGAGTGGGAAAGCAAGCTGCCCGGTCCAAGACACAAACCACAGTAAGCCATTTGGGAGTTCAGCATCTTTAACCACGCCACCTGCTGGCCCCACACACATAGGGCTTTTTATCACTTCTCAGTCGGAAAACAGAGAAATGCCCTCAGATGTCACAAAGGTACAATGACTGTGGTACCTAGAGTATAAGACGCTGACTCTGACAGGTCAAAAGTGGACCTGGCCGGATCAGCAAATGGCATGATTGTTACGTCGGTGGACTCCCACATAGTACACCCAGTTCTAGTTCCAGACCTGGCATTTTAAACCTCACATAGGATGCAGTGTGCATGCATGCCCAAAATCCTGAGAGGAGAATGGAGGAGAAATTATTATCGGGTGGCCATCCCCCTGGGGAGGAGTGACCTCTCCCTTTCTCTATCTGTCTCTCTGGCAAGTGCACAGACCCTATAGCCAACATCTAAAAAAAAAAAAAAAAAGTGGAATTGGCACTATTTTAAACTGCAGTCAGCAGAGATGGAGTTTTTTTGAGCACACCATGAAGCAAAGTGTACATCTCCCCACTTAAGTGTGTGACCCTAGGCAGTGACCGTGCCAGAGTAACGAGATCCATCTCCCAAGTAAGATGAATAGGGAACTGGTGTAGAACGTTTAGAGCAGCGCTGATTCACAAGCAAGCGCCAGATAAATGTCAGCCATTGACAGGGAAATGGTCACCAGCTTTCTGAAATGACATCGATTTAGCCCTGTGGGTCGGGTAGTGGAAGACAAGGCAAATCACAAATCCCCGATGTCAAAGCCCTGGCACTTCCCAGAGGGTCTCTAGAGGGAAAGGAGGGGAAGGGGTGACGTCTGGCACATTTATCAACAGGTCCATGAATGCTGCCGTATGTCCTGCGATTAAAGAACAAGAAAAAGCGGCAGCTCGCAGATGGCAAAGGGCTGTCCCATCAGAGGACAGGGCATCTCTGAGAGCAGGGAGTCATCAGGCGCAGCAGATGCTTCGGGAAGTCCCAGAAAGAGGAGGCGGGTCTGCAGGAGCAGCTGGGCCCGTAGCCCCGCCAGAGCTGGCGAGGAGTAAAGGAGAAGCAACAGCATCTCAGGGTCACAGAGTACTGTCCCCACACACTCGCCCACGAGACGCGAGGCCCCAGCGGCGCCCCAGCCCAATGAAGCTGGGAGAAGCCCTGGCAGGGCGCGAGGTGGAGGTCCCACCCAGCCTCGCCACCCACCTATCATCGGCCATCACGATGGCGTCGAACATGTCCTGACTCCCCGCCATGGTGGCAGTCCGACCCGGCCCCGACCCTCGGTCTCCTGCTATCCTGCGCGGCCGTTCCCGATTAGCAAGCCTCAGACAAAAACGCACCTCTTCCCAGGAGGCGAAAGCCACTTCCGGGAACGGCGGCGCGTTGCAGACCGGGTAAGGACGGCACGCGGTAGGGTCCAGAAAGAGCCGGCACAGGGCCAGGACGCATGCGCAGTGGCGGCGGTGCTCGGCGTGGCCTGGGACAAAGCCCCGCCCCACGGCCCGTCTGTCATCCCCTTTGCTCCGGCAACTGGCCGGGCCGGTCCCTGCGGGAGCGTCCGGTTGACTTCGCGCTTGGTTGGGCGGGGGTCCTGACCCTTGTTTTTGTTACTTAAAAGCCTAAGCAGCTGTAATCGAAAGTATTGTATTTACCAAAAGAATTACCACAAGTAGATCCGAAAGAACTAAGAAAAGGGAAAAGTTACCAAAAAACAACTCCTCGGGACACCGCCCGTGGGCCTTTTTTTTTGGGGGGGGGGGGGGGGCAGGGGGGAGTTGGAGAAAGGGCAAGTCCCAGCTGGAGGCAGGCGCTCTCCGCTCTCTCTGGACCTCGACACCGGCCGAGACGTGCCGGAGGGCGGACGGGGCCCTTTCCAGGACAACTCGAGGTTGGGCTTCGAGCCTGGAGTACTGACTGGCGGGTCACGGATAACCACGTTAACACAGGAGCCCCAGGACTGCGGGGTTTGGTCCAGGGGCTGGAAGGCTAGTTTCGTATTGGGACATCTGAACCTCATTGGTGTCAGTACTCGCTGGAAATGGCGAATAAGAAATGCTTCCATCTGCTCTTGAAGTGTTAAGAGTTCTCTGAAAACCCGAAGTAATAGCTTGTATCTGTGTGTGTTTATTCTTGCAATTTATTTGTAAAGCAAAAGCAAAGCTGTTCTTCTAAAACAGAAGGCTTCGCAGTGAAGAGCAATTGACCTTTCCCCAAATCTTTCCAGCCCCATTCTCAGCTGGAAACATCCACTTTTTAATTTTGTTCCGAACAGTTTGATCTGTAATTCTCCTGTTTGTCATTTCTACCGTAAATACTTTCAGAATATAGTTTTTAAAAAGGTATTTCAGGGGCCAGCAGGTGGCATGGTGGTTAAGGTACTGGATTCCCACATGGCTGACTGCCATTTGAGTGCAAGACCTGGAGGCTTGAAAACCACGACAAATAAGTTATTTTTTTAAAAAAACGTGATTTAAAGGGCCAGCAGGTGGCGTGGCGGTTAAGACCCTAGACTCCCACATAGCTGACTCTAGTTGGAGGTGCAGACCTGCTGGCTTTCTTTCTTACTTTCCTTCTCTGTCTCTGTCTCTCTGGTGATCACATATGCTCTATAGCAAATTAAAATAATAATTATTATCAAAATTTATTAAAAGAAAGTACATCACCAAAAAAAATATAGCTGTCAGCAACAGACCGTATATGTGTTTAGTCAAGACTAAAGCAAGAATGCCTTTATCATATCACCATTAAATATTTTTCTATAAAACTTAGCCAGTGGCAACAAGGCATGCAACAGAAACATGCAGTGTAGGTATTTCGAGAAAGGGACAGAAGTATCATTTGTAGGATGACAGCCCACCTATAATGCCCCCCAAATCATCTGAAATACCCCATTGAAGAGTTCAGCAAATAGCTATATACGTGATGAATAAAAGCAAACATCACTTGTTTTCTGTTATTACAATAATAATTTGTAGTTGCCTGGACAGGGGTGTCGTGGGGAGCCAAAATATGCCACCCCAAAATAACGCTTCTTCGCCATATTTTCAGATTGAGTATGCAAAAGGTCTGCAGAGCCAAGAATGAACCTGCTCACCTTTCGTGAGAGGCATTTACATCTATTTACATCAGTAAAGTCAGTGGCAGGTGCAAAATGGCTTTCCTGAAGCCACCTCCTTACCTTTCTTTGGTGGACGGAAGAAGGACATTAAAGGTGTGACACCTGGCCCAGAAAGCCAAGATTCTCAGATTCTCAATCC